CCCTTTATAGTCAGTTGCATAGCCCAAATAGACCAGTCAGTTGCATAGCCCTTTCAGACATCAATGCAGTGTCAGTGAGCCCACTTTACATTTACCCGTGACGTTCTTATGGTTCATATTTCAAAAATTAAAAATTGCTTAAGTTCTACTATTCCTGTTTCTACATTTCTGATTAACTCTGGGGAGACTGGTGCTCTTACTGAAAATACGCACGGCGCAGTGAAACTTTTGACAAAGACGCAGAACACAGTACTACTACTCTGTCGTTGACAGTTGCTGCGTTAACACTTAAGTAGACATGAAGAAAATAAGCTCATTTTCAAATAGAACAGTGAATGCAAGTCAATAAACAACAGAGAATAAAACAGTTTAATAACTATAACATTTGAACAATTAACACATAACTTGCGTAACATTGCCAGTTGTGTCGACTGCTATGAAAAGCTGCGGACTGCTCAATGACGGGAGACAGACGTCAAATTTATGCTGAAAGTCTTATCTTCTCATGCGGCGCTTTCGTTTTCAACCTGCGTTATTTCAGCCATTTCGTCAGTTTCTACATCATTCAGTTACTAACTGAAAATGATAAAAGGAGAGTTTTGGCGCGGTTTACCTGTAGCCGTAAGCACAGTAATCGAGTCGTCATCCTCGTACTTCCGATCGACAACTCCAGCATTGAGGTGTTCGCCCATTGGATCAAGCTCAGTTCCCCAAGAATAATTTACTAGCGATAAATGAGGCCTTCCAAGTCTCTTGTGCACCTGCAAAAAGCGGTACACGTAAATGCAAGGTGAAACAGTTTTGACTTTATGACAAATCTAAATTATCAGGCGATCTAAGTGAGGCCACCGTTAACACCGACAAAATCTATGCAATAATTTTAGCAATAATAATGCTTGCAAAAATAGCTATTCTACACTTCGGTTCCAAAGATTACTAGATATCTTTGGCAATGAGTTTATTGTAGAATGAACTGAGTAGAATGAACTTATTTCTACAAAAGTATGTAGGGAGCCCTTACTGTAGTTCTGCCATTCACGTACTTCGTGCAATTGCAGCCAAGCATACATTGGCTAAACTGGCAACGGTAAACAAAGGCCAATGCGTTCAGTTAAGAACTAAGAAGCACGTAGCAGAAAAGCAAAACTAGTTGAAGATAAATGCATCGAGAGATCTATGGATCGCCAAACGTGTTTCGCTCATGAAAACCACTTTTTGCTGTTTTCAGAAAATGGCTTCCTCAAAGAAAAGCACTGGCTTTACAAAGACCACGGACATTGCGGATAAAAGAATTCGGGTAACTGGTAACTTGCAGTATTAACTAAGGAAAATCATTCCTGCCACAGTTTTGGTGTTCAAGTTCAGGATCGTCTGGCATCGACCGGACCCAGAACCGTTGAAGGACTACTGAAACGACTAGATGCAGGAGAATCTATTCATAAAATACTGCCAGTACTAAGGATTTGCGTAGAATTTTGGATACCCAGGAAGCAACAATTTTTATGCAATTATCTGCAAAAACAGCTCTAAGCCTACAACTGCACTCCGTACTTAA